TTACCTAAGATATCAGATGGTGGAAGATGGTTCAAAGGCATTAACAGGAGACCTGTATTGCCCTAAGTTAGCCTGCTTCATTTAAGTGTGTCAGAGAATTCTGGCCCATCACCAATCCTGAAGAAAGATTCAACTACTAGCCCGCTTGGCTTTTATACATGGAATCGTTAAAGCTCCACCTTTGTCTTGTGAAATACTTTGGACAACATCTGAAAGGTTGAAATTACAGAGGTAGCATCAAAATATCACCTACAGAGAAATTTAAAGTGAATTTGGGGGGAATTCCTAAGGAATTCTGAATTATGAAGGGTTTTGAACACAGTAGCAAAGTTGCTCAAAAATGGAGTCAATGGTGGTGGCCATGCCCGGCCCCAGCTTTGTCATTTCTGTGTGAGAAAATTTTAAAGCTGCTTCTACAAAGAAAACTATCTCACTATGCAATTTCACAGTCCTTCATATCCCTCAGTGGTTTTCAAGAAATCACTTTGTAACAGGAAGTGAGTTAGAACAAAGTGACCCCAAGCTTGTTTGTAAGGGTCCTTTCTTACTTTATATTTGAGTAAGGTATGCCACCAAACTGAAGAGGGCAGGACCTAATCGTTTCTCACCACAAGAAGTCCTTGTAGCCTTCTAGATGTTGCTGAACTGCAGTTATCATTGTCCCAGCAGTCTAGTCAATGGTACAAGATGGTGGAAGTAGTAGTTCATCAACATCTGAAGAACAAAGTTGCCTTACATAACCAATTTATAGAACCTTCTTCCAACAGCTGAGGTAATTTAGGGACCTTCCACCTTTTAGTAAGTTACATGTATTGGGAACTGTTCAGCTTTCAGCAGAACTGGCCTCTCTCAAGTATTTTGACTGCCTAAGTTTGTTGGCAAATTTAAATAAATGTTTTCTTGATTTTAAGATATTTTAAAATGTTACCTTTTCTTTTTATTTTGGTACATGTTTGTGGCACTAGAGGGGATTCAAATGGTGGAAGGACGACTTGAGAGAGAGGGAGAGAGCAGGCAACTCAGCCTTTAGATAGAGTGAGACATTTGCCTCAGGAAGCAAACGCTGAGAGACAGCAGGAAGGTGCTGGTGGAGAAAGCAGTATGTTCCTTGCCGTGCTTGTGCTCCTAAGATAGTCTGATGTCTTCACATATGGTCGATGCTCAAGGAAATTTGAACTGATAGTTTAGTCAGTGTTTGTGCTTGGAACAGAAGCAGGGCACCATTTTGTACTCTATCTCAGGGAGCAGAATGTCTTCGGTGAACCCTAGGTATTCCTCTGTGTATATGTGCATTCTTGTGTCTGTATGATAAGTTTAATAGACCAAAATCTCTGACTTTCTCAGAGACTTTGGACTATTAAACCAGCTTTCAGCAAGTGTCTAGGTGGCTATTTGCACCAAAACTGTGTTGAACCAGGTGATTCTGTGATTTTGTTGTGTTTTTAGGTTTTATCAGTCCCCTATTGGCATCAGCTTGTAGGACCTGGCCACATTAATGAGCCCCTTCCAATTTAGGTCAGCCAAAGCATGTCTCCCTGCTGTGAATATGTATTTCTTTGCTAGCTGAATCCTGTTCTGTTGCTTCTTGAGTCCATCAGTCATCACCTGCTCCTTTTTTCAGACTTAAGAAAGGACATTCATGAACTGTATCACATTTAGAGAAAAGTGAACAGGCTAGCAAAGGGAATGGAAACAAAATTCTGTAGGGAACGTTTTAAAAAATAAAACAACGTTCATATTTCCCGAATAAGCATTTTAAGCAGTGACCTGGTAGCTGTCTTTCAAGATGTTAAAACCTGTCATGCAGGAAGGGGTTCAGCATGATTGGCAGGACTAGCAACAATGGCTGAAATCCTTTTGCAACTAAGATACAACTAGGGTCAGCCAATTGAATCTGGGGCGATTTTCGGAATCAGCTCCTGCATATGGCCAGTTGATTCAATGGGCCTATTCTACTTACAACTTACTATGCTAAGTGAAGGATTTCAGCCAATAAATGGGAACTGCAGGAATGGAGGTGTCAGGTGGGCACTATGAGAAACTTCCTCCTGCTTAGAGCTGTGTGACAGTGAGACAGACTGCCTCAGGGGGTGGTAGACTGTCTATCAGTGGACATAATTAACCAGAAGCCTGCTCACCATCTGTCATAGCTGCTGTAGATACATCCTGTGTTATAGATCCTGCACTGAGTAACGGGTGGTCTAGATGGTCTCCTAAGATCTACTTCTCGATAATGTAGAAAAACCATAATTTTTATAAGTTTATAATAAGGGGGAAGTCAGGGAAGAGAGTCACATTTTTTTCTTTTTCACACAGAATGCCAATAAACCTTGAAGCATTCAGATAACTCTCTTCAATTATCTTTTGACGATGAATTTTTCCTTGTTGTCCCCCCCCCCTTAATGGAGCATCTGATTTGTATTCAGCATACAGCCGATGACTTAAAATTTAAAAAAGACATTAAATTAATTTACTTTTTGCACTTTATCCCGAATGTCTAGAATAAGAGCTGTGTGATTACAAGTTTATTGACTTAAATGTCAGAAATTTTGTTAGCCTCTGCTTCCCCTGCAGGCTGTAGAAATAACAAGGCATATTTTGCCTTTAAGCAGCAACATTCAGTGGTCAATGCCAGCACGAGTTGAACCTTATCAGTTCCACATATCAAGGCAATCTCCAGACTCTTTATTCCTGGCCTTCCCTTGGCCTAGAACAGGGTGAGCAAGGTGTGGCCCTACAGATATTTTTAGAGCACCGCTCCCATCATTCCACACTGTGACAGAGCTGCCTAAGACTGAAGGGAGTTGTGTTCCAATGTGATCTGGAGGACAGTCCTCTCTCCAACCTGTGTTAGATCTCCTCCTGTGGAGATGCATGAAATCTTGTTAAAAAGCCTTTTGATTAACCAACACTTGAATTCCATAGAAAGGATCAACACAAACTAGGATCCCTTCTCAGCTGAGTTTGATAAGTTTAAGGCAACTAAGAGCAGACAGAAGTGTATTCCTAAGGCATGAACTCTGGCCCTACCATTAGACAGAGTCAGGCAGCCACATTTAGTAGCTGAGTTTGAGTGTTTTAAAAAGGTAGCACTTTTGCTCTTATTGTAGTTTTACTGTCATGAAAAGAAAGGGGGAACCTTCCGTAATGATGGGGCCACTGCCAAGAAGTCAAGACCATAAAATGGACTGATTGTCTAGTAGTCATTGTTATGTCGTGGGACAGAATTTGTTATATGTTGTGCCGCTAGAATAGGGTGGAAAGCAGAGGATGGGGAAGCACTTGAATGAGCTGTGCTTCTACTAGTTCTGTAAAAGAAGGCACTTCCACAAAATTGTCCTGTGAAATCCCTAAGAAATGGGTCCACTGTTATGTGCCATGAAGTCGCTTCTGACTAGAGAAGATACAGAAGATGTTCCAGGAATGGTTCAGCATTGCCAGCCTCTGGGATTCGAACCCAGGTCTCCTGAGTCCTATTCCAACATTCTGTCTACTGCACTACATTGGTTCTCCTAAGAAATGTGTAATAAACATATGCATCTAGCAATAAATGGTAGCAATAGAAGTAAGGATTTTATTGTATGTTATGTGACCCAAAACTGCCTGTTCAAAGGTTGCATGCCCGTGACCTCTTATTGATTCAGGTGGCGTCAAAAGCCGGTGAGTCAAGAGCTAAAAATCCCTTCAAGGCAGCACTTTGGAGTGCCTTCCTTCCTTTGAGAATAGCAGAAAATGTCCACACATTTTATTTCACTTGCCAAGGTCATCGCCAATAAGGAAGACACGACAATTAATCCTAGAGCGAGACAGACATCAGCAGCAAGAGCACATACTGTGTTCGTTTGCGAAGCCTTTTGAAACTTGTGCTCTCCTGCTGTGTCTCAGCAGCGAAGGTCAGCCTGAGTTCTGTGCTTCCTTAGAAATGAGCTTGACAGTGGGAGCAGGGAGATGCTTCCTCTATATACAACTAAGAGGGTTAATGGTCTTTCAGATGAGGTTTGTTGAAAATAAATGGAGTTCCAGGATATCAACGTAGTGTTGTAAAATGGTTTACTAGAATAAGTACAGGTAAGATACTTCTGCTAACATCTGATCCCTTTGACTTTAGAGATTGTGACAACTGTTTCTGCAGATGAGCCTGTGCCTATGAGAACAGCCTTGACTATGATAGCTGAAAATAAAACCTCCAGGCTCAGAGGCAAGATACCTGTGATTATGGGATTCTGGGGCAAATATCAGGGTTGGTTCTCTCTATTCATGAACTGTTTGTGAGCTTTTTCAAAAGCAGCTGGTTTGCCTCTTTTTTTGGAATGCTGGACGACAATGACTTTTGGACTCATTCAAGAAGGCAGTTCTTATACACAGAATGTCTCAAAGCTTGTTAATCCCTCCTGATTCACATTACTGTTGTTATTGTTGTTGACTTCTATACTGCCTCATAGTGATCTATACTGACTTCTATACTGCCTCATAGTGCTCTCTGGACAGTTTGCAACATAATTATCCAAGCAATAACTTTGCTTTGTTGGTACTCCTCTTACCAACATCAGAAGGATGGAAGGCTGAGTGAGCCTTAAGTTGGCTACCTGAACCCATTGGGATCAAACTCAGGTCAGGAGCAGAGGCTTGACAGTAATACTACAGTTTAACAAAGAGTAGCAAATGTCTTCTCTGCAGGGCTGTTACTGGGCCAGTTTGGAGATCTAGATTTCTGCTTATCCCTTAGCAGGTAAAAACATTTTGGAGAGCATTCATTTGTAGGGTTGTCTATGAGTTGGAGGTGAATTGACGGCACATAACAACAACAAAATCACTCATTTCCCAGTAAAATGAAATGTGCACTTTTGAAGTAATGTTTCCATTCCACAATGCTAGAGAATATTTATGCGTTTATAATACAGTAGGTGTGTGTAGAGAACTAGAAAAAAGTATTAAGGTTCTGTCTTGTCAGTGTTTCTAAGCTATCCTGAGTTATCCACATTTATGCTTTGTTTACACAGTTGGAACTATCCAGCACGGCAGTCCTTCATCAGATTCGGAGGGATCAAGTCACAGATACGTGCCGAGCCAATAGCATGTCTAGCAGAAAGCGTCGTGTGCTGACCCCCAATGACCTCAAACATTTGGTGGTTGATGAAGATCACGAATTAATATATTGCTATGTTCCCAAAGTGGCTTGTACCAACTGGAAGAGAGTAATGATGGTACTGACTGGGAGGGGTAAATACAGTGACCCCATGGAGATACCAGCTAATGAAGCCCACATCTCGTCAAACCTGAAGACGCTCAACCAGTACAGCATTCCAGAAATCAACCACCGCTTGAAAAACTACATGAAGTTCCTATTTGTCCGTGAACCTTTTGAGAGACTGGTGTCAGCCTATAGAAACAAGTTCACCCAGAAATACAACACTTCTTTTCACAAGAGATATGGTACCAAAATTGTGAAACGCCAAAGGAAGAATGCAACCCAGGAGGCACTGCACAAAGGGGATGATGTGAAATTTGAAGAGTTTGTGGCTTATCTCATAGACCCCCATACCCAAAGGGAGGAGCCATTCAATGAACACTGGCAAACTGTCTACTCTCTGTGCCATCCTTGCCACATCCATTATGACCTCATAGGGAAATATGAGACACTCGAAGAGGATTCTAACTATGTCCTTCAACTTGCAGGTGTCGGGAATTATCTCAAGTTCCCCACCTATGCAAAGTCCACAAGAACTACTGATGAAATGACCACAGAGTTCTTCCAGAACATCAGCTCGGAGCACCAAACACAGCTGTATGAAGTCTACAAACTTGATTTTTTAATGTTCAATTACTCAGTCCCGAGCTACCTGAAATTGGAATGAGGTGTGAAGAGCCAGAGAGAGATTTAAAAAAAAATGGAAAGGAAAAGAAACCTGATTTATTTAAGATTTTTGTCACAATTACTTATGAAGAAGGGGTTATTTTGTAAGTTAATATTTTCTTTTTTTGAATGATGCTGCGAGCAGCATAGTTGGAAATGTATTATTTAAATTGTTGGTAAGAAAAGACAACTCTGTTTGCAGGGTAAGAAAATTGCAGTGACTAGTTAAGGCTACACTGTTTGGAGAAAAAAATGTTCTTACTGTCCTAATGAATTTCTTTTTTGCATTTTTCATCAACCCTAGCCTTTATGTTATTTATGCTTATTTAAGAACACAATAGATTCTTCATTAGAAGCTAAAATATGACACTGTGTGGACAAAAAAAAAGTTTCCTGTGCTCTCCTTCTTAGAGTTTGCCTTTGTTCTGGATGTCCATTCATGGTGGAATGTCTCACAAGTGCTGAATATGCACATATAAGTGAAAGTACTGACACAGCGCTGGGTGGCTCTAAACAGGAATGTATTTTTATCATGATTCTCTGACACAGTCTTCAGCTGATGATCATGTGCAAACCCAAGCCTAGATTGTATGCATTGGGGGTCAAGGGGCAGGATCCCTTTGGGGCATCATGTTTGTGCAATCCTCAACTGCACAAGCAAGTTTTATCTTTTTGGTGGTTATGGGAGAAGGTGTCCTATACTCCCTTGTGTAAGCAATTCCCTCTTCTTCAGCCATAGCTCCACCCCCAAAGCTAAGATGGCTACTGATTGGCCCAAGGAGAATTGGAGACTTCCAATTGGCTTTGTTGAAGCTAAACCAGCCCAATCCTGGATTTTCCATTGACACAGTCCAAGAAGTACATTGGCAGAAATTTCTGCTCCACCAGCATTGTGTAGGATTCTAGCCAAAGTCACTTAAAAACTTCACCCATATGTAAATTCAGAATTCCCAAAAAAGGGAGGAAGGAAAATACATAGATGGGACTGCCTGGTTCAAGCCCCTCCTCCCTCAAATGAGCTAGCTCCATCCAAGATAGGGTCTCCAAAGCGTGAAAGCCACCTTCAAATAGGAAACCACGATGAACAGAGTATACCCAGTGAAATCAACATATTTACGGCCTTCTGACCTCTTCTGATGGCCTTGTCTTATCATGATCCATCAGAGAATGACACTGGGAGCCAACAGGCAGTCATGGGTTGGCCAAACAGACTTGTTGACCCTGATGTTGCTGAGAGCTTTATTTTTTTTCCCTGGGGGGACCTGAGATATATGATCCTTCACAACCTCTTTGTCCCCTTCTTTGGTTCTGAGCAAGAGAAATCAAACTATACAAAGACGGGGTTCCTCTGATTTGTATGATTGGCTTTGGCATCCTTGTCCAGCCCAGCAAGTCCTTCAAAGATGGTGACTAGCAACGGGATGCCCCGGGGAAAGAATGCATCCCTGCTTGAAAACCTCAGGACATCCTTGAGATTTGCTCTTTGCTCTGGTGCAAAGAGCAGTTTGTAGCTGGGAATTGCTTTCCTGCGAGGCAACAGGAAAACGAACCACCATATTCTGAGCTGTAGAGAATTCTAAACAAGCCCATTGGCAAGAGGTGATGATATCAAATGAAGGCAGAACCTCTTGTTTAGGTGGGTCCCTGTTCCCTGGAAAAGCACCACAAAATATAATACCCTGCAATGAAGCAATATCATCCCAAATAATATGTGTTTTCTTCACTGATACAAATCACTTTGGAAAGAAACATATTATTGTTATCTTTTCAGACTGGGAAAGGAAGAGCTAATTCTGTCTGTCTGTCTGTCTGTCTGTCTGTCTGTCTGTCTGTCTGTCTCTCTCTCTCTCTCACTCTCTCTCTCTCTCTCTCTCTCTCTCTCTCTCACACACACACACACACACACACACACACACACAAACACACACACACACACCCCATTCTGTGGTGGAAAGAAATGTGAATGTAACTTGTTGAGACAAACATCTTTAAAATTTGTCAACATGTTGTTCATAAAAAATTATCTTTGTATTCAGAGTTCCTTCATTTGACATCTCAGTGAATGGATAGGCTGCCATTATACATGGTGGCAGCAGTGCTAATATTTCAGACCACAGTGTTTCATTGATTAATGAGTAAGACTGGGTCTGCTAATTTAAAATGTGCCCCTAATTAATTGGGCAACAGATTTTGGAAGGCTTCTTAATAATTTTAAATGAAGATACTTGGGTCAACTGTAGGGGGCAATCGCAGGATAGAAGTTTTCTCTCAAATAGAAGTTTTCTAGGGGTCAAACTACATCCTTCATTAAAGAGACAATCCTGCAGCTACAAGTGCCTCTTTTTATGCTAAAATAAGCATGTGCCACTCTGATTGGCATCAGGACCATCATGAGGGAGGAGTTTGAACTTACTCACCAACATGTTTTTTATCTAAAGGGGGAGTCACATGGACATTCAAGAGAGAAAAATACCCAATCCCCACTGGTTTTGTTGCTGTTAAACTCTCACAACCTGGTTGAGATTATTTTTAAAGATGAAAACTAGAGAAACATGAAATTTTAAATTGTTCTTGATCTAACTCTAACTTAAAAGTAAGTCTTGCTTTAAAAGAAAACACAGCTCTTTAGCTGCACACCTTGGTATAGCATGCACTTTGACCCAGAGATTCTGCCTGTTTGAAAGCACATGCATCTCTCAGAGTGATGTGGTTTTAGTAATGGAGTTACCAAATAGTCTGCTTTTTAGATGATGATGTGCAGAATTTGGAAGTGTGACTTGTTTAGACCACTGGTTCTTAACCTTTGTTACTCAGATGTTTTTGGACTGCAACTCCCAGAAGCCTTCACCATCAGCTCTGCTGGCTGGGGTTTCCGGGAGTTGCAGTTCAAAAACACCTGAGTAACAAAGGTTAAGAACCACTGGTTTAGACCATAGCTCCCACATTTCTCCAGCCAGTTGTTGTTGGTAGTGGCCTGGGGGGCTGGGGCAATTATAGTCTTCCAAGCTCTGGTAAATGTCCCTTGCTCCACTTACTTCAGAAGACAATAAACTGCTTGTGTTGTGCTGGGGGGTCCCTTCTCCTCTGTTGAGCTTTGCTTTTCTGCCCCAGTGTCCTGACCTGGCAACAGCATTGCTGGAGAACGTTTGGAGAATGTGTTTGTCTTCAGAACAGTTGTTATATTCATACTCAAATACATGCATATTTAATGGACTGTTAAGTTAAAATAATATGGTTCATGAGGTAATCTAAACTTAATTGAGCAATGACCCTCATGTTGTTGTTATTATCATATCATGCAGGCCAACATGTTGAAAGTGATTAGTGGGTTTGAGTTTCCAGTTAAGGACCATGGGCCTGAACATGGAGAAGTCTTTTTCCACCCAGTAAGCTGCACTGAGGATCAGAGTAGCAGATAAACAGAAAATATAAATAGTCAGACTTCAGAAATCTGCACAGCAACCGACTCTAATTTCGTTAAGATATGCATTGGTGGTAGACTTAACATCTGTGGCAAATACACATAAAGCATCAATTACCGTAGGAAGGAGTGCAGAATTCTCTTAATTTGTGGGCTGACCCTTTCTCTGCAATTTATGTTATCCCATCTTGGGTTTGAAATCAGCCCTACTTTCACAGGTGGCTTTATTCAGAGAGGAGCACTCTCCAGATGAACCATTTGATATGGCTAAAGTTACATTCTGTGTCCTCTGATCAGTTAATTGTATGGAGTATAGCTGCCAGAATCCCTGGACTGGCCAACATAGTGATTCTGAAAATTTTAGTTCACCGCCCCCAAATTCAAAGTCGAAGCGAACATGTCCCAAAACCCTCTGCACAATCAGTGAAGCCTTTAGTAGGATGTCCCATGAGTGTAGTTCCTCGGTCAAAAACAGTGTCACATCTAGCTGCATCATGGCCAAAAGGAACATTCAGTACTAAAACAGTGTGTTCGGTGACAGCCTGACTGCAAAAATTGGCCAGATCTTCTGTATTGAAAGCCAAAGTTCTAGAACGTGTATATTTAAGGCTGTGCTTCTCATAGTCAACACAGACAAAATCTTGATGTGATATTCTTCATTAAAGTGCTCACAACTGTTCATACCTGTTCTCTCAAAAAAAAAACTATAACAAGATTACAAGAGGCAGGCGAGTACTTTCAGCATTCCAAGCAACCGCATGGGGCAATATAATTTTAAAGAAGGGTGAGGACTAATGTTCCCTCTAATCTCCAAGGATAACAGCTACCATGCATTCTGGAGAAGTTAAATTGGTGATATACCTTGCAATGTAATAGGCTGCTGTATTCTGATGTTCAGTTCAAGTTGCTCAATTAAATTACACGTGGGCCACACTTGTATTTAGGGCCAACTATAATTCTACAGGAGTGTACAATAGTTTCTCCAGACATCTTCATTAGGACGAGAGGCTAAAACACAGTGAGAAGGGTGACAAAAAGGTCTAGAGAACTTTAAAGTTTGTACACTACTGTGAGCTTGTGTAGTTGCTATGCACCATCAGGTCACTTCCAAATTGTGGCCACTCTTACAAGGTTCTCAAGTTATCTGAGATGTTCACGGTTTGTCACTTTCACACACATATACACACCAATGAGTTTCCATGATCAAGAAAGACTTGAACTCAGGTCTGCCACATCGTAGTCTAATACTCAATTCACCACATCACACTGACACTCACTGTGGACTTGCAGTTGCTTCTAATAAAGTTATAGGTTAGCTATAGATTTTGGGTTTTATTTTGTTCTCATGGTTCAACATAGCTACCTTTGTTTTTGTATTTGCTGTGGAATTGTATTTCATTATCAAAAAGCTATGCCTCCAACTGTACCTACCAAGTAGCCCAGGACTCCAGGGCATGGTCCATTTGTTGTTATAGTCCCCTCAGGACACAAAAGTATTTCAGGTCAACCCCAATGTTTGCTATTTTTGAAGAGGACTTTCAAAAACAGATTGTGGTAATACAGGGGGTGTTGATGCTAGTCTCCATTTTTTTGGGGGGGGGTCATTCTTTTCTGGTTGCCACTGTTAGTGATATAGACTAGCTTGAATCCTGTTTGAGCCCAATATGAACCACCTTTCAGATAGTACATGTGCGCTTGGCCTGCTCAAAATTAAGATGCCCATAAGTTACTCCTCATTGTTGTTGCTGCTTGCCCCCTTTAAGAGGGTGAGAATTGGCAAAGACAGTGTCAAACAGAAGAAACAGGCACAGCATGGCCTTTTTAAAATTTATTTATATTTATTTAATTTTTTGAGAATGGGCTTCTATTTCAGCATCTCTCATTACCCCCAGCACAGTCTATGGGTCTATGCATAGTCACATGCATGCTGTGTTTGAATCCAAGTTTGATTTAACGATGATAGCGCCAGAATACGTTCTTGTTCAACAGGTGACCCTCAGACAAATGACTGAGCAGAAACAAATTCACTTGGTTACTTGGTCTTGCTCCTGACGGTGAGATGAGTTTCCATTTAAACTGAAGGAGCCATTTCTAAATTAGCATCTACATGTATAAGTTATCACATGCAAATCTGCCTCACATTCATCCACATTTTTGCTCCTGCACAAATGACCATTCTCAAGAGACTGTCAGCAGGGTGTGGGTTGTGTAATGTTGACCTTGAATCTCATGTTCAGAAAAAAAACAAATTAAGGCATGCCCAAAATAGCTCTGCAGACTCTGCCCAAGTTGCCATGAAATATGAAACAGCCAAGTTATAAAACAACAACAACACACACAAACACGTTTAAATTTAAAAGTCGCAGTTTAAACATTGTGCAGGCAAATTCAAAAAAGTAAAAGATTAACATACTGGTCATAAACATTTTTATTTTGTGCAGCACAAGCAGATAGTTCTGCAAGCAAGCCTACCTGTGTGGCTGGCTGGTCATCATGCTCCTCCACTCCCTGGGTCATAGAAGTTGTCACGTAACAGGGGAGAAGCAAAGGGGGGGGGGGAACACTGCATGACGGCCTTTACAGACATATTTTTTCCAAACAGGATACTGGTCACTGTGAACTGATTTAAAGTTAACCTTTTCTGCAGGAACTATGTTACTTCTAAGTGCTGATTTCAACATTATCTGGAAGCAGCCTTTCTTCGGCGCTGCCTTTTTAGCGCTTTAAAATCATGGATGACTTTGGGAACACGGAACACGGCTATACCAGCTGAACATTTCAGGCACTAAAACGTAAGAACATAAAGCTCTGGTGACTCAGATGACAGATTTTGCTCATCCAGCACTCTGTTTCCAACAGTGGCTAGTGAGAACCCTGTAGATAGAACATCTTCAAACAGGGCAATAACTTGATCCCATGATTGTTCCTCACATGGCCCATAAGAGTAACTTCAGAAAGACATATAACCAGCAAGACTAGGAGCCATGAGCAGCCCTCTTCTCCATAATCTTCTCTCATTCCCACCCATGTTGTCAGCAATCCAAGCTGCCAGCTACTGACATAGACTGCGGTAACAAATGGCAAAATTTCACTCTGTGCTTATTGAGGTACTTCTTTTTGTTTGTCCTGAAACATTTTCATAACGAGTTGTTGTTGTTTTCCCAGGGGATTGTCACTTCCTATTTATGACCCAGCCTGTTAAAACCTGTTTATGAATGAGGGTTTCTTTAATTCCCCCCCCCCAAAAAAATCACATTAATAATGTATTTAAGCATTAAATTTTACAGAAGAATATAAGTCCTCTGGTAAGGAAAGTCCCTAGTAGCAGTCGTTCTGTGTACTTTGTTTGTCTAAGATGGCAAATTGTGATAGAATGAGTAGCTTATTGCCTAGAAATTGTTTTAAGCTGATAAGTATGAATAAGTTATTCAGT